GCAGAAGTTTGAAAGAAAATGCAGCCGAAAGACTATTCAGTCGAAAAGTAGTTAAAGAAGACGCTAGCTCACATATCCATTTTTGTCTTTGCTTATGAGTTCTGAAGCTCATAGGAATGCTTTGATGGAAGTCTTAGACGGAGTGAACATTCCGAAAGAGACCACAGGTGAAACCTTAGCTTCAACGATTGGAAGAATAGTGGAAGCTAACAAGATTTCTTTCCATGATGATGAGTTGCCTGCAGAAGGGGTTGGGAACAACAAAGCGCTTCACATCGCAGTCAAATGTTGTGATAAGATTGTGACTCGAGTTCTAATTGATGGTGGTTCTGGATGCAACATCTGTCCTTTCACCGCTCTGAGGGATTTAGGTGTTAATATGGGAGAGATAAATGAGAGTCGTTTGAAAGTTAGAGCTTTGGATGGAGCACAAATAAGTATTATTGGAGAGATCTATCTCACATTGCAGGTGGGGCCGGCGGAATTCCCCATTCTATTTCAAGTGATGGATGTATCATCCAACTACAACCTGTTACTTGGAAGACCATGTGGGTTCACATGGCAAGAGCGGTTCCTTCCACTTTTCACCAATGTGTAATGTTTGAGTGGGGTCGCACAAAAGTTACCATCCATGGAGAGCTCAGTCACTCCATCCTTTCTGTTAATTCAATCCCAGTCGCTAATGAGTTAGACGGAGCCACCTTTCAAACTTTGGAAATTATGCAAGATGTAAGGGTCAATGAGGAAGTAGAGGCAGGTAATACAAAGTTGTCAAGTGCAACAAAAATGGTTGCATCAGAGATTTTGAAGTATGAATATCAGCCTAAGAATGGACTTGGACCTAAGTCCAATGGCATAGTTGAGCCAATCCAGCTGAAGCATCAGATAGGCACCAACGGACTCCTATTTGAGCCTGCCTCGGAAAGAGACCGTCATGGGTCAAGCGATACAATCTTTGTTCCAAACAAAGCTGTGATTCCAGATCAAGATGGCGTTGATGACATCGTAGAAGGAATAGGCAATCTGTTCGTGGCCATGGCTGGAGAAGCGGAAGGGATAAATCTCAACAAATTGACCATTCGTGTTGCCAAACCTGGAGAAATCTTGCAGAATTGGACCATCAGCCCGTCCATGTTTCAACTAGAGTCCTGGTAGTGTGGAAAAGTAGTCTTAATTTTAAAA